GCTCACGCTGCCTCCAGAGGCCTCCACGTTGTCGTCGTCGTCGCCGTCATCGCCGCCGTCACCGTCGCCGTCGCCGTCGCCTTCGCCGTCGCCGTCGCCGTCGTCGTCGTCGTGAGGCGCGCGCGGTCGTGACCCAACCCACTCCCCGTCCTCGTCGTCGTCGTCCTCCATCTCATTCCTTCTCTTTATAAATAACTTCTCCCTGTCGCACCCCGAGGCCAGTTTTTAGGGCGGGCCAGGCGTTTCGCCTGAGACTTCTTTACCACGTATGACCCTGAAGGTTAAAACTGGCAACATCTTCACAGATCGAGGGCCGATGGTTTTCAAAATGTGGCTCTTGCTTTAGCGCCGCACAGTTTCGTTTTCAAAATCTGCAAGGGTTTCACGGGTTGAGGGCGGATGGTTTTCAAACTGTGGTTCTCGCCTTACGGCCGCGCACATTCGTTTTTAACACGTGTAAGTGCTTCACGGAGTGAGGGTGGGTGGTTTTCCAATACGTGGTTCTTGCGCCGCGCTCATTCGTTTTCAAGCATTGCAAGAGTTTCACGGAGTGATGGCGGGTGGTGCAAGCGTTTCATTGATTGAGGGCGGGTGATTTTCAAAATGTGGCTCTCGCCGTAGTGCCGCGCGCACTTGTTTTAAACATTCGCAAGAGTGTCACGGATTGATGGCGGGTGGTTTTCAACTTGTGGGTCTCGGTTCAGCGCCACGCGCATTCTTGCTAAAATTTTGCAAGAGTGTCGTGGATTCCCATTGTCGACGTACCAGACGGGTGTTTTGAGAGGGTGCACGATTATGAGGGTGCAACCGTTACGATGATTCGAGCAGTTGAAGTCCTAGGAATGGCGTTTTGGCACGATTCAGAATCGTCAAGGCGCAACAGCCAATTTTATCCGTGGTGTTGGAATGCCGAAACCAATAGTTTGGTATGCTTCAGGGTTTTTAAGACGGTTGTTTTCCAATGAGGCAGATCCTACTGTGGAACTGAACCGCTGCAGGGGTCTATGAAGAGGGAGCTTGGGGGGAGGGTTTGTTCCAGCATCGTTGGTGGGTACTCTTGGGTTTGCACTGGTCCTCCTCCTCCTCCTCCCCAGACCCACGGCGTCGTGTTCCTTTCATGACGTGGACCCTCAGAGGTCTGGACCCCTCCCGGGGACGGGCTTCTCATCCCAAGTCGTCCTCTGGCGGTCCCGCGGAACGGCGAGGTCCCTCAGAGGCCGAAAATGGTAGAAATTTTGCGGTCGTGTTTCTTTCATGGTTCGAGGGGGTGTCAGGGTCCGATGCGGCCGTGCCGTCCAGCTCATCTCTCCGCGCGGCCGCCGTGCGCCCAGGGGCGAGGCCGAAGGAGCGGCTGTCGGAGGAAGCCAAGCTCTCCCGCCGCCCGCGCCCCCGCTGCTCGCCGTCCCGCGCTCGGCCGAGCCCGCTCCGCGTCCTCCGCCGGAGTGGGGATGGTCAGGTTACGACAGCGCCAGAAGGTGTGAAGCCGACGTCCGCCGAGAGCGATGAGTTGACTTGTGGCAGGAGCCCTAGTTCCCCGAAGAAGAAGACGAAGAAGAAACATATTAACCATACCATTACTTAAAATAAACAGCAACTGGTACACATACACCTTCGGAGCTCCTCGCGGATTTCTTGTATCTACGCTGGCCCCCTTTGTGGCACCTCATGGTGCGCTCCGCGCGCCAGGCAGGGGGTCCACCGTCGCTCCCAGAAAACCGCGCGCACGTCCGAAAGTTTTCAAGCTTCTTCCGAAAACTGTGTTTATTTAATCGCTTCGCTCATTCCGCCGGCCCATACAGTCTGGGAGGCATCGCGCTCTGGGCGGCGTGCGGAAGCCATTGTGTGAGAGGGCGCGGTGGTGAGAAGAACAGCTCACCCCACCCGGCTTTCCGGGCTTTCTGGCGTAAGGAGGGCTTCTTCGCGGCACTTGTGAACGCTCCTGGACAGTGCTTTTTGGGCAGGTTCTTGACGCTTGTTGCAAGTCTGTAGGGGCCCCGTTGGGAGTCTACCGAAAGGAGAGCACATTGTAGCATCGCTTGCACGTGCTTGCGTGCTCGGGGGGGCATTTGGGGGGCCTCCTGGGCCCGCTTGGGGGACTCTTGGGGGCCTCCTGAGGGCCTCGTGGGGGCCTCTCGGGGCCTCTTAGGGGCCTCTTGGGGCCTCGTGGTGGCTTCTTAGGGCCGAGGGCTCGAAATGTTGTTTCGTGTTCCCTCTCTGGGGCCCCTTTGGGGGCGTTCTTGGGGCCCTCTTGGACCGTCTTGGAGGCTTCTTGGGCCGTCTTCGAGCCCTCTTGGGCCATCTTGGGGCCCTCTTGGGGGCCTCTTGGGGCGATCTTGGGGGCCTCTTGGGCCGTCTTGGGGCGTCGGGAAGCCGAAAAGGTGGAAGCTCCAAAATGTTTCAAAAACCAAAGGAAAAATAATGAAATTTGCCTCTTGGGAGTGCTCTTGGAGGCCTCTTGGAGCGTCTGGGGGCTATCTTGGGCGTCTTGGAGCGATCTTGTGGCATGTCGGACCCCTCGTGTACCATCTTGGGGGCCTCTTGGGGGCCTCTTGGCCTTGCTTGGGGCTCTCGGGGACGTCTAGGAACCCTGCTGGTGCGCTCATGGAGCGCTCTGGTGGAGTCGCCCGGGGATCAGCCGGGACCCGCCCGGGGTACTTTTCGTCCGGGGACCCCCAGGGGCCGCCCCGCGCGCGCGAACTAGAGAATTGTTAACCAGTTACCGGAGATCTTAGCACGCCTCTGGCCCGTTGGGCCGGCGAATTTTTTCGCGGGAAATGGTATCTGTTGCCGGGTCCGCCGCCTCGTTGTCGCCGTCCTTGCCCTGTCGCCGTCTCGTCGACGCCCGTCGTCTGGGCTCCGTTGCTGGGTCCGCCGCCTTGTTGTCGCCGTCGCCGCCCCGTCGCCGCATTGATTGCACAGCGTATGTTCTCTTTCTCTAACGGAGTACTAGGAACTCCCCACCCCGCCTGGGGCTAACGGAACACATGTTCGTATTTTAATGTGCACATGATTCTGCCCCATCGTCCATTCTAAATCTAAACTCGTATCATCTCAGCCCAATTGGAGTTCGCCCTTCTCCCCCCATCCCCTGCAACAGACACAATATGTATACATATGCGCGCGCTCGTTTGTCAAACATCGTTATTTTTCAATAATCCCTTGCAACACATGGGACGAAGTGCGCGCGCGCGTGCGCCGTGCGCGCATGCCGAAATCTGTCAAAACCTTAGGTTTTGTACGGATTTCGACATCGAGAGTTACGAACCATAGAAAACATATTCGGTTTTGCACTGAGGGGTTTCAAATAAGTCTGCGCACGCGCTCTGGCGATGTTTTTATATAAAAAACAATTGTTTCCTGCAGCATTTTCATACAATGAAACCCAACGGACCTCTCGCGCACGCATGTCAAAATCGTTCGAACGCCCTCACGCGCGTGCTGTCGCAATAATATGTTGCAGCGTATCGGACGAAGTGCACGTGAGCGTCGTCGCGCGCGCATGCTTTAATCCTTCAAACCCTTGGGTCGCAACGGTTTCAAAAACAAGTGTCCCGAACACTTATGGAAAAAACATGGTATTGCAACAACACTTTCCAACTGAACTCCTACGCTCGCGGACGTGCGAATAGAACACCGTAGGTTTTCCTACATGTGCATCAAATTCTAGACGCTTCGCGTATCCCCACCAGCCCGTCCAGAAATGAGCCCCAGGGGAGTGGAGGTGATGAGGGAAGCGGGGGAGCATGCAGAAGAACAAAGAGCGGGTTGAGCCGCCATACGCCCCAAGAGGGGGAGGATGTAGGAGGAGTCGTCGTCGTCGGAGTAGGAGGAGGAAGACGAGGAACAGGAGGAGGAGCAGGAGGAGGGGGAGGAGGAGGAGGAGGAGGAGGAGGAGGAAGATGAGGAGGAGGAGATGGAGGAGGGCGAGGACGAGGAGGACGAGAAGGAGGAGGAGGAGGAGGAGAAGGAGGAGGCGGAGGAGGGGGAGGGGGAGGAGGGAGGAGGGAGAAAAAGAGGAGGAGGAGGAGGACAATGGCGAGCTTGGGGGCCTCTTGGGCCGTCTTTGGGGCCTCTTGGCGGTCCCGGAGGCCTCTTGCGTATCTCGGGGAGCTTCTTGTGGCCTTTTGGGAGTCTCTTGGAGGCCTCTTGGAGGCCTCTTGGGGGCCTCTTGGGGCCTCTTGGGGCGCTCTTGGGGCGCTCTTGGGAGCTTTCGGGGCGCTCTTGGGGCCATCTTGGAGGAGATCTATCAAAGAAGGGGGGGTTGCTTATTAGCGTTGCCCCTCTAGAGTGCCTCGAATCGCCTCTTGGGCCTTCCTAGAGGCCAAATTCCGTCCAAAACCTAAGGAAAATCAATGTTTTTTGCTTTCTCGCCTTTTCGCTCTTGGAGCCGTCTTGGGCCATCTTGGGAGCATATTTAGGCCTCTTGGGGATCTCTTGGGAGCCTCTTGGGGGCATCTTGGGGGCCTCTTGGGGCCTCTTGGGGCCTTCTTGGGGCGCTCTTGGGGCGCTCTTGGGGCAATCTTGGAGCGCTCCTGGGCGCTCTTGGGGCCGTCTTGGAGCTCTCTTGGGCTTCTCTTGGTGCCTTCTTGGGCCATCTTGGAGCCATCTTCAGGCCTCGGATGGCCATCGGAAGCGAAAAAGCGAGAAAGCCAAAAACGTTGATTTGCAGAGTTTTGGATGGATTTTGGCATCTTGGGAGTCTCTTGGGATCATCCTGGAAGCCTCTGGGGCGCTTCTTGGAGCCTCTTGGGGCCCCTCTTGGGGCGAGCGGGGGAGCATGCAGAAGAACAAAGGGCGGGGTGAGCCGCCATATCCCCCAAGAGGGGGAGGATGTAGGAGGAGCCGTCGTCGTCGGAGTAGGAGGAGGAAGAGGAGGAGTAGGAGGAGGAGCACGAGGAGGAGCAAGCGGAGGAGGAGAAGGAGGATAAGGAGGAGGAGATGGAGGACTGCGAGGACGAGGAGGACGAGAAGGAGGAAAAGGAAAAGGAGGAGGAGGAGGAGGAGGAGGGGGAGGGGGAGGAGGGAGGAGGAGGAGGAGGAGGAGGAGGAGGAAGGAGGAGGAGGAGGAGGACAATGGCGAGCTTGGGGGCCTCTTGGGCCGTCTTTGGGGCCTCTTGGCGGTCCCGGGGGCCTCTTGCGTATCTCGGGGAGCCTCTTGCGGCCTCTTGGGGGTCTCTTGGGGGCCTCTTGGAGGCCTCTTGGGGGCCTCTTGGGGCCTCTTGGGGCCCTCTTGGGGCGCTCTTGGGGCGCTCTTGGGAGCCTTCGAGGCGCTCTTGGGGCCATCTTGGAGGAGATCTATCAAAGAAGGGGGGTCCCCAATTAGCGCTGCCCCTCTAGAGTGCCTCGAGTCGCCTCTTGGGCTCCCCAAGAGGCCAAAATCCTTACAAAACCTATGGAAAATCAATGTTTTTTGCTTTCTCGCATTTTCGCTCTTGGAGCCTTCTTGGGCCATCTTGGGAGCCTCTTGGGGCCTCTTGGGGGTCTCTTGGGAGCCTTTTGGAGGCCTCTTGGGCGCCTCTTGGCGTCTCTTGGAGCCTCTTGGGGTTCTCTTGGGGCGCTCTTGGGGCGCTCTTGGGTGCCTTCGGGGTGCTCATGGCGCCATCTTGGAGGAGATCTATCAAAGAAGGGTGGAGCTTTAATTAGCCCCGCCCCTCTAGAGTGCCTCGAGTCGCCTCTTGGGCCCCCCCCCAAGAAGCCAAAACCCGTCCAAAACCTACAGAAAATCATTGTTTTTTGCTTTCTCGCCTTTTCGCTCTTGGAGCCGTCTTGGGCCATATTGGATTCTCTTGGGGCCTCTTGGGAGTCTCTTGGGAGCCTCTTGGAGGCATCTTGGGCGCCTCTTGGGGCCCTCTTGGGGCGCTCTTGGGGCGCTCTTGGGGCGCTCTTGGGAGCCTTCGGGGCGCTCTTGGGGCCATGTTGGGAATATATATCAAAGAAGGGGGGAGCCTCAATTAGCCTCGCCCCTCTAGAGTGCCTCGGATCGCCTCTTGGGCCCCCCCAAGAGGCCAAAATCCTTCCAAAACCTAAGGAAAATCAATGTTTTGTGCTTTCTCGCCTTTTCGCTCTTGGAGCAGTCTTGGGCCATCTTGGGCGTCCCAACGCGTCGCGGAACGCCCCGTCCAGGTCAGTGGGGAGGGGTAAGGGGAGGGGTAAACCCCTCCCCGAAGGGAAAGAAGGGGGGTTGGCAGAGGAAACGCTCTAGACCACCTACGCCCTAAAGGGCTGGTGGGATTCTGCCAGTCGGGCCTCGCGCCGCATGTCGAACTCATTCGACAGCATATGCGCGCCTGCTGGGGGGGGGGGCACGATCTGTGTCAACTAAAACCATGCGGGCCACTCGCGCGTCAGCCGCGCGTCTTTCAAAACCC